TTATCTTGCTAGTTGCTCCTAAGTACGATATAAAATGCACGCGTGCACCCACACCCAGCGCGAGCGTTACAGGGCCCACCGCACACCTCGCCTCTCATTCAGGATTTGCTCCCAACTGCAGTTTAAGAAGACGCAGCCCTCATCTCCTCCTCTTGCACGACGGGGTCGGGGGCTTCCCGACCAGCGATGCTTTTGTCAGCCTGGCCGTCCTGGAGCCCTTGAACCGCCCTCGCAGCAACACAACCTCCAGCAAGGATCATCCAGGCTTTCCTTCTCCAAATTACAGACTAATACAACAGCAGCCTCATTTTGCCAAATACAGCTAATGCCTGCCACCAAAACTGCCCCAAATCTCTGCATATACACTTTCACTTCCCCTTAGGATGACCGCTTGCCATCAGTGTTGAACGAGACCTCTGGGGCTTATTCCTTAAAGGTCACCTGCAGGGACAGAGACGCTTTCCAGTTCCCCAGCTCTGGTACCGGGCTTTATCAGCAGCTGCTCTCGGTTAGGGGAAGCCGATCCAACCCCTAAATGTGGATGCAAGAAGATGCATGCCCTAGATAGAGCGCTGGCTGCCGCTCGGATGACTGGTATGTGGTGAGCGTGGTGGGTGGTGGTCCCCAGGTCTCGGTGCCGGAGATGCTGCCCCGCATCTCCAGAGGCTGCACTGCCGCAGCGCTCCCACCTCCCCGCACCGGGGGAGCAGATGTCCCGGCAGCGGGGAGCACTGCCCTCCCGTCCTCGAGCAGCAAGCCTCCATCAGGAGTTTTTCACTCAAAAACACACTTTCCTGGAGCCAGTGATGTTTGGAAGTCAAAAAGACCAAAGATGAAACGTTAAGAGCGGCTCCCAACAGCTTAATTTGCAGCCATGCTGTGGGGAGCCGAGGGATGCTCAGGGGCGAGCTCTGGGGCCACGCAGGTCTGGCACCGAGGGACCCAGGGCTCTCCAGCAGGACGGGGCTGTGTCACTGCGGTGTAGAGGCTGAAGCTGTTCGGGAGGACTGTTTCTTTGTCTAACGCTCGACGTAGTGCAGTTCATCCTCCCTCGTACGCCCTGGGCAGGACACTACCACAGAGCAGGAGTCACGGCCGCGCCACGGGGGCTGCCCACTGACCTGCGCCATACAGCCCCATCCATCGCTGGTGTCTCCTAAGGGTTTCCAAGAGTTAAAATGACATCATGCACATCTCCGAACGACCGAACGTACACCGGCTGCGCTGGGTATTGCAGCTACCGACTTCCTCTGCAATATCGAGATAGGCGAGACGCTGACCTTCCCGGTGCTAAACCCATCACCTTCTTCAGCCAGAAACCTCTCACTGGGATCGCGTCTGCTGCCACCCATGCGGACTTGCCGGAGGTTTCAGGACGCAGCGACAAGCCTTTCCCCTCCACATCCAGCTCTGAGAAGAAGGAGGATTCCCTCCAGCGCCCTGGGGAAGGCAGGTATCGCTGCCAACGGAGGAGACGGGGTCAGGCATGGAGAGCATCTCCCGAAACACACGCCAGGCGTTGTCAGAGGCTCGGAGGACTGACACACGCCCGCGTGCGAGGCCAGACCTCCCAGGGAGCTCTCTGGGAACTATTTTTGTTTCTGTATCAGCGCCTATTTTCATTCGTGATCATGTTCACCTTCTGCTAGCACTCCTTCGAGACGAGGCTTCGCACCCGGTAACGCGGATCAGACACGCAGCTGACTCCCCTGGCTCCCGGTGCCTCACCGGGAACACGGCTCTGCCCTCACCCGCCACCCGCGGTCCCGGTCCGGCGGAGGGGCTGGCAGTGCCTGCTCCCAGCCCCGGTGCATTTACAGCATCAGGTGTCAGCAGGTGTTTTGGAGGTGTCTGTTGTTACCCACAAATTTTAAAACCTGACGAGGAGGGCTGAGCTGCCAGTGGCGTGGCGAGGCCACGTGTGCCGGTCCCAATTCCAGCTGGGAACGGGCACGGTCACAGCTCTGCACCCTCCGTCACGCCGGGGAAAAGGAGAATCCCAGGAAGCACTGCAGGAGCCAGTCGATAATTATCATTTTAGGATCTGCAGACAACAGAGTGCAAACACCGGGAAAGACACGTTACAGCCATCATTACAGCCTGGTCCCAAGCAAGCGCCCGTCTACAGGAGCAGCTGTAAGAGCAGATGGAAGAGAAAGTCGTAAATGCCGTTTGCACAGCGCGGTGGCCCTGCCTGCGCTCCCAGCCGGCTCGGTGGCTCTGATCTGCCACCGATCCCATGCACAAGTCCTCTTCCCTTCAAGCGAAAGCAAGCTGTGGGTGAACGCTGTCACCAAGTCCCCCCACAACCTCACGGACAGCAATTCCACCGACATCTGCTTCGCCGGCAGCCGGCATCAGGCTCCTGGGTGACCCGGGCAAAGGGCCCGAAAGGACCCGCTTTGCTCAACACCCCCCCCACACCACCCCCTTTGCAATGCTCCCTCCTCTTCCTCACCTGGTTCTTTCCCCGAGGCATTTTCAGCTTTTATACCAAGCAATAATGCAGAGATCACACATGGAGAGAAAGGACGAAACAGTCGCAAGGAAGCAAGAGGAAACCAAGCATCCCATCCTTGGTGGGGAGGAGAAAAGAAGGGGACAGCGTAAGAGGGGACGTCTCCAGGGGTTACGAACGTGGAGGTCGTTACACAAGGCAAGTGACGGGGTCAGCTCTGCCTCCTGGCAGGGTCGGTGCCTGAGGCTGCCGGCAGCAGGGCAGGGGGGTACGGGGGGGCTGTGATCTCTGCAGCTGCGGAGGGTTCACGTGCCAAGGAAACCCTGCAATTCACGGGGTCTGCTCGTATCGACGCTTATTCTGGGAGCAACCAACCGCCTGGCATTTCTGTGGGAGCGGGTGTAGAGGCTACGGCAGCAGGGCTGTGAGAAAGGTTTGGGGCACCCATAATTTTAGAAAAGTGAAGGCACAGCAATAGGAACGGGATGAAATACACTGGGCAGGAACCCGCCCGGACATCGCCCAGGGAAATGAAGGCATTGCTTGCCCGGGCAGCAGAAGGGTGCTCGGCCCACCCAGGCACCACGCAGCTTTTTTTTCACTGCTGGAATCGCTGCAGGATTTGGGTGGGAAGGGACAGCCGGGCACCACGTTGTCCAACCCACCGCTCCAAGCGGGGTCAGACGGGGAGGGGAAGGACCAGGCTGACCGATTCCTCCTGCATCCTCCCCCGGGAGCCAACGGGGAACCGCTCGTCAGCAGCACCGCGCCGAATCTGGGCTTAGGAGATGTGAAAATCCGAACCGGGGTAGATGTGTTCCCCTGCGACAACGGACTTCGTTACAAGAGTCCCGGACAAGGCTCCCGTTTATACCGGCACCAAGCTGGATCGCAGCACAGCGTTTGCTAGGCTCCTGCGGGACACGGTTCGTTAACTGGGGGGAGCGGAGACTGCACAAGAGCCGCGGGAAAGGGAAGGAGCTGCGGGCGTAGGAGCAGACGGACCAGGCAGCTGTAACAGAGGCAACGCCAGGCTGGAGGGGAGCTACGGCAGACCCCGCTTTGCAGACCCCAAAAGGTGACGCTGTGTCGGTCACTGGCTCCTGTCCACACAGAAGAGATTTATTTGTTTTACCAGCAAGGAAGCAGCTTGGCTGTTTTCTACCAAGAAGCCCGCAGAAGGGATGGCCCGAGGGAGCAGGACATCTCCGTGCGGACACAGGCTGCGGGCACGGCGCACCCGGAGCACCCCATCGATGCTGGGGTGATAAAAGGTCAGCCCTGGCAGCACAGCTGCACTGGGGGGATTTACCAGCGCAGACCCCTGGGGCAATGCTGCAGCCTGGCCCCAGGGCAGAGCACAACGCCTGCACGGCAGAGGCTTTGCCAGGCAGAACCCGTCTTCTCCAGCTCGCCGCCGAAGCCCGTGAACGCGCATGCAATGCACGACAAATACAAAAGAGAAATGAGGCAGAGATTGAGCGCGGTACCATTTCACACATGCCTGGCAGGGGAGAGAACGGCTGTTAGGAGGTGGAAGGCAGGGAGGATCACAGCCTCGCACCGCGACGCGCAGCATCAGCCAGAAGATGGATGCGGTGTTCTCCGTCCATTTGAATCGAAGGGTTGGAGGCACCGAGCCCCACGGAAAGGGCTGTAAATATCACCTAATGAGGGCTGGACGCTGGTGCTCTAGCACCATGGAAATGAGCTTGCCAGCAAGGAGAGAACATCCTTAACAACAGGCAAGCGCAGGGAGGCGATGATGGATGTCTTCATTTGGGACCAGAGAGCCACCAGCAACGCTTGCGCTGGATAAATCACCTCCAGACTTTGCTAACACAAGAGCCTGGAAATGCAGAACATCGGCTGCAGACTCAGCCGGGCAACTCCCACGGCAGGCCCGGAGCGGAGGATGGCCTCTCCTGGCTCGAGGCATCCCGCCTGCCCGTGTTTGCATGGATGAGCCTCAGGTCGAGGGGCTCAAGACGGCGCAGAAGATCTGTGCCAGCCCTTGGGAGCCCCGGACCCACCTGCACGCCGCAGCCCTGGAGGCAGCGAGGGATTACGGGGTTATGGATATGTAGAGAAGCATGTTCCTGCTTTGTTCCAAAACACACAGGCACAAAGCGAAAACAGCCCCAGATGTAACTGATGAAACGACATTTGCTTGAGCCAGAAGCAGATGTGGGAGGGTAAAACGCCCCGTCTGGTCTCTGAGATGCGACCACCAAGCCTCACTTCTCGGGGTGGCCTCACCAAACCCAGCTCAGCGAACGTCTCTGGTTGCAGAAGTGACACAGACGAGTGGGACACCCCGCTGTCCCCAAGGTGCCACACACCGGCATCCTCACTGCTCCCTCCGAGCTCACGGCTGGATGAGACAACCCATCTGCCACCCTTGTTCTCCCCGACCGAGGCACACGAGTGGGGGGAAGAGAGGGGAGGACTCAAGCGTGGAGCTGCAGGGCGCAGCACCGACCCCGTGCCGCCCATGGAGCCAGCATCGTCCTTCGCCAGCAGAGCGAAGCCAGAGACGTACCTGAAAAGCCGAGGTCCAGCAGGACGGCCCGTTTGCGGTCCTTCACGCTGCTGATCTGCTGGAAGTAGAGGTCCACGACAAAGAAGAAGATACAGCCAAAGAAGGCAATGATGCCAACGGCGATGCCGTAGCTGCAGGCACTCTCATTCTCATTGAAGATGCAGAGCAGCTCGGGGTTCTGGCTGTCCTTGTTCACGTAGCACTCGTTCACGATAGAGCCAAACACCACGATGGAGAAGATCTGCAGAAGGAAGAGAAAACACAACTCGCTGCTGTTTACATTTAACTCTGTTTTCCAACAGCAACATAATTGGATTCAATCCTGTCTTTGACTCCATGGCAACGTGGCATTTGTTAGACAGATCCCAACTCTCGCCTGGTTGGTGGCCCCACGCGATGGCCTGGTGGACGGTACTTAAGACCTCCTTCGCCGTGAGCGTCTCTGCCTTTCGGTGGCTTGGTTTGCAGAGTATTTTAAGAGATGTTATTCTCCAGTCAGGCTAGGGAGGGAACAAATGAAAAGATGGGCCGGGTCTCCGCACAGCCTTTCTGCTCGTGCTGCTCCCCGCTGTCGGGCTGTGCTCGAGAAACCCCTTGGGTCACTGCGGAGCCCGGAGAAATGAAGTTACGGAGGGTAAAACGGAGCTGCTGAGGAGGCCGACCTGGGGGAGGCCTGGCTGCCCGGTGGAGGGGGG